AGAGATGTTCTTGACGGGGAACAATTCTTGGAACCAGTCGAGCTAGAAAACCTAAATACCACAAGGATGTTTCTTTCTCTGTGCTAGCGAAACAGTTTAAATTCAGTTTTGGCGACAAATTTAGAACGCACATGTGAGAGTCCAAATTGGAGCATTGTTGTTACAATTTTAACTTGAGAGCTAAACTGAAAAGCTGTACTTTTACATGGTATTTGCCGTTATGTGCGGGCCCACAGCTCTAAACTTTCCCTTTTTGCATGCCTTGCTTGCGGACACGGCAGATTTTCATTTTTGCAAAACCCTCGGCATCCCCCTCTCAGGGCAGTCAGACATACTAAAAACTGAAATATCTCGAGCCCTCACCCCAGCTTCAGCTGACAATTCAAACGTATAAGCAAAGAGCAACAAAAACATTTCTAAAATGAGTGCGCGTACCGAACTGAATATTCTTACTGCTAGCTGTTTTACCCCAAAACAAAATCACATGATCATGAGGGACCATGTCTCTTTGCATTCAGTTAGGTCGGCTTCTCACTTTTTATGCGTCTTTCCATAGTTGTGTGAATGCAAAAACGTATATTGTGATAACCCATGGGTTGGTGCTTCTTTCCAGGTCTTTCAACTCAGCAATCAAGCAAGCCTTGACACTGAAATTTTACCAGTAGTTTTCCTAGCCAGCCATCCTTGGAACGCGGTGCCAACTTTCGGGTACGTCTGATTCCTACGTGCGAACACGTGAAAGTTTTGGCGAGAAAATTGCTAACTCGAGTACCACAAAATCTGGGAAACAAAAATTTTAAGGGGATGTCACATGTAACGATTTTAAATTCACTTCCTAACTATGCCTAGTGTTCCTATGTGCGTGCGTGAAACTTTTGGCGGAAAAATTGCTAATTCAAAGAACAGAAAAGCTCCGGCAAACTGAAATTTTAATGGGAATATCCCCTCGCATGCAATTTAAAGATTTCAAATTCAATTCCGAAGCACATCTGGTTCCCACGTACGGGAACGTAAAATTTTTGGCAGGAAAACTGCAAACTTGGGAGACAGGAAGCTAGGTTATTTTGAGTAAAGTCAAGGGGAATTATTCATTTTCATTCATGCAAAATTTGCAATTTTTTACAGTACTGAGTATACAAGTTCAATATAAAGTAACAACCATTCACATAGTTAACGATTTCATTTCTTCAATTTTAGCGCAAAAATACATGATCACATCGGCAAGCCTGGTACATAGCAGCATATATTTCGCTGTTGTCTCTGTGCAGTAATTATGTCTAGGCCATCGACACTGCATTAGGGCCGTTTATTTATGGCAGTATGCGGGGCATAGTATGCAACATTACGCTAATCGGGCTACAATTCAGCCTCGTACACAGCAACTTGTTCGCTTTACGCACTTTCAAAAAAAAAAAAAACAGAAGATGCGTGTGGCTGCGCCTTCACTTATCAGACAGTGCTGCGAGTTGTTAAATCCAGTGAAAGTTAAGTTTTTATTATATATTGTGAATATGCTATTGTCTTCTGTTATTGCAGGTACCAACCAATGTCGCTGTTGCACAGCGAGAAAAACGCCGATTTTATGTGAAAAAGTCAATTATTGGGATGCAGGAGTTTCGGGACTGGGAAGAGAAACTTGGCGACTACTGGTACCGCCACCACCATGTAACTTCTCGAATGTTTTATTTCATAAATCACGAAAGTAGCTCACCATCTGTGGTGTTTAGGCCCTTTTTCGCTTGGTTGTCTCTTACTAGTAAGCATCCATAAATTCAATTCTCGGGTTCCTCATGAAAGTGCTACTCGTCCTGTATTACTCTGGTGGCTTAACTCAGTTTTTTGCTTAAAAATTTTACTTTTGTTTTATTTCTCAGTTTCATAAAAACTCGCAAACTCTCGACCAATTCATGACAAATATCATTTTCGAGAGAAGGCTAATTTCCTTTATTATATCAAGCAGAAAGGTTTGTAGTCCTCTCAGTATTCGCCATCGTGGTCCAGTCAATATTCCGACTTCTCGCTTCATCTGCTTTCCGTGGAATTCTCGTGGCCTGTTTTGCTGACTTGTCGCGTGCAACATTCTTTTTTCTTAGTTCGAGATGATTTATAATCTTAACCGCACCAGATGGTGGTCACTTGCCCTTTAAAAGAGTGCATTACAGAAACATCCTTGAGAATGGAGCAAGGGCCAGAAATCATTTGTATCAGGACGAAGTAGCGGAATTTTAGGAGCATATTATGTAAGTCGGGTCACAGGGTCTGACTGAGCTGTGCCTGACGTATAGGAGCACTTCGATAAAATCGTTAACATGGGATACCCTCTAATTACTCAGTCGGTCCCGATAAGTGTGTGTTTTTTAAAAAATGCTTATGCTTGATGATGACGCAACACTGGTTTTCAGAAAGTGAACAACATAGTTTATTATCACTGTAAGTACGAACCATGCTACGCATCGATGAAAGCGAAAGTGATGCTGGATTGTGTGCAGGTCTCTTTGAATAATTTCAGAGTTCGCCGGTCGTCTGGCTGCTCACTTGCCCACAACTGAATAATATTTCCTTAAGATAAAATGATGTAAATTGCAGCTTTATGTTACTGAAGAAGGACATTCGCATCCTGCTCCTGCAGATCTCATGGTGCGTTTTCTTTTTTTTTTCACTCCTCCATATTTAGCAGAAGCCGAAAATGCATAAAGCCAGCCTGTAACTACTTAGGCGACCCTGATTGTGAGAGCACATACAAAGGCCATGGGCCAACTTTCGTGTTTATTCTCTTCATTTTAAGCTCGAAATTTGGCTTGTTTTTCAGTTTAAGAATAATAAATCAAAGCTGCGTACTTTAAACATCTCATTGATAAGATAGCACACGGTAAATAGTTTGAAACCAACTTTTAAACCCTCATTTTGTCTCGATTTGCTTTCTAATATTGAGTTTTTTTTAAGCTATAAAAGTTCAAAAAACTCGCGGTTTACTTAACGATTGAATTTAATTTGCAACGTTTGAGCTTTACGAATTAGCTTTTACGTATTGCTGTTTCCTAAGCGTTTGGGCATAAAATGCTTATTTGATTCCGGAGCAAACTCCGTCGCAAACATGAAGTTTTGACAATTTTTAGCCGTAGCATGATTGGCCATAAAATTTTTTATGTTATAGTGCGATGATTTTCCGATGTGTGGCGTATGC